GATAGTAGGAAAAATTTCTTTACTGAAAGAGTGGTCAGGCATTGGAACAGGCTGCCCAGGGAGGTGGTGGAGTCAGCAGCCCTGGAGGTGTTCAAAAAACACCTAGATGTGGCACTTCAGATATGGTTTAGCAGGCATGGTGGTGTTGGGTGGGTGGTTGGACCTGATGATCTTAGAGGTCTTTTCTAACCTATGATTCTATGAATCACCAAGATGCAGCTTCTGCTCAGAGTTTGCACCTCCTCACGCCAAATCAAAGTGAATAAAAGTTTTGGGGCTGTTTGTTTGCCGCTGACTCCCTGACTGCAAAATCTGTGCAGGGTGCAGTTAGGAGGCCTCGAGCAGGGTGTTAACACAGCCCTTCTGGAGGCAAAAAAAAGCATTGGGGGAGGGTGGTGGGGCCTCTGTGAAAGACGCTTTCCCACCCAGACACCGGGCCGCTCTGCCCAGGATACTCTGGCCCTCGCCTCCTGGGGCCTCCTGGGACCGTGAAATCAAGGCGGATGCTCAAAAATCCAAAGGAAGTTACCACGAACCTGAGGATGAGGAGATCTTGGAAACCTTGTAGCAGGGTGTGAAAGAGGGACGCATCTTTTTGGCACAATGCGCATCCCAAATGTCAGCGTGGACTGCCAGGGAATTGGGGAAAATTTCAGACGCCCTATGGTTAGTGTTCAATAACTGAAAAGCTCAAGTTGTGCTTTTTCTTTCCTTTCTGCTTTTTTTTTTTTGTTCCTATTAAAACATCTCTGTTTGATGGCATACTTCTACAGTGTCAGCTAACAGGCAACTGTTCTTCCAGATACAAAACAATAATTTGAGGGTGAATTAGCATTCAGTAGATGATTGGTATAATCTGGTGTTTTAGGCTTCAGCACAAGTATTCTGCTGCCACACTACATGCTTGCTTCATAGTCTCGCCTGAAATGTATTGTTTGCCTATAGAAAGGGAAACAGGAGACACAAGGCAGAAATAAGCTTTTCAGAATTATTTCCGTGGTTTCGTTTTGTGAATCCCTCAGAGGGTTAGTGCCTGAGTCTCAAAGAGTGATCAGCTCCTCTGGATTATTATTTTCGTCTGAATCAGTGTGAAGTCCCTGAGCCAATTCTGTATTCACTGTCCACACTTCTGCAGGAAAAAAAAACCCAAAAGGACAGTCTTAAAGAATTAAATATTATGAGGTGCTGATTTTCTCACTCAGAGGTATTCCCTGCGATGAATGTTTGCCCGGATGCACAAACCTTTCCTGGTCATGGGAAATCAGCTGTTGATGCCATCCAAAAAAAATTTTAATTGCAGCTAAATGTGAGAGAATTTCAGATTACAAAGAGCTGCAGCATTCTGCATTTTCCTTATGGGAAAAGCATGCCCAAGACAGTACTTTGGCATCTGCATATTTACAAAACTTCTTACTTCATCTGACAGTATTTATCACTGAGTTTGTCTGCAGATATTTAAGCTTTATGGCAACTCAGCCTGACAGCGAAAGTCAAATTGAGCTGCCTCATCTGAGGAGCACTTGTATCTGTGCGCCAGAACCCATCACTGCAGACCAGTTGGTGACTTCTCTCAGTTCCTCACCCAAAGGGGTGTTTTCTACAATTCGCTAGGAATTTAGGGCCCTGTGGGACATCCCTGTTGTCACCTGTGTGTCCGCTGCTTTGGACCTTCACTCTTCTGCATGTCACTAGGAGTCCTTTTCAGGCTCAAAGACAGAGGAGATGCTGGAGTGTGTTCAGCAAAGGGCAACGAGGCTGGTGAGGGGTCTGGAGAACAAGTCTTACAAGGAGCAGCTGAGGGAGATGGGGCTGTTTATTCTGGAGAAGAGGAGGCTGAGGGGTGACCTTATTGCTCTCTACAACTATCTGAAAGGAGGTTGTAGTGAGTCAGGTGTTGGTCTCTTCTCCCAAGTAACTAGCGATAGGACGAGAGGCAATGGCCTCAAGTTGCATCAGAGGAGGTTCAGATTGGATATTAGGAAAAATTTCTTTACTGAAAGAGTGGTCAGGCATTGGAACAGGCTGCCCAGGGAGGTGGTGGAGTCAGCAGCCCTGGAGGTGTTCAAAAAATGTGTAGATGTGGCACTTTGGGATATGGTTTAGCAGGCATGGTGGTGTTGGGTGGATGGTTGGACCTGATGATCTTAGAGGTCTTTTCCAACCTATGTTTCTACGATTCTATGATTCTTGTGCTCCCAGCCAGGTGCATTTAGGAACGTGCAGAGCAGAGCTGTGCTCAGGTGTGGATTCTGGCACAGTGCGCTGTGTCAGTGTTACAATTCCCTGATGCGTTTTGAAATCCAATTGCAGGTTGGTCCATTCCGGCCCAGGAAAAGGCTCACCGCAGTCCGGCGTGGATTTGTCTTTTGCAACCCGCACCGGCACAAGGCAAGGGATCGAAACCCATCTGTTCAGGACGGAGACCAGCCGAGACCTCTCACTGTGGACAAGGAGCGTAGTGCAGGGCTGCCACAATTCTGCGGAGCTCATCACAGAAATCACCACATGTGAGTAATACCCGCAGCACTGCATCTCCACACCGCCTTGTAACGCTCATGGGTAGTTCAAGCTGCTTCTGCTAGAGGTGATTCATTTAATAGCAATGGCATATGTAGGGTTCTATGTGTGTAACATATTGTCCCCTTGGTGGTGCCTATGCCAGTGACACAGTCACTGTCATTCTGACGTTTGATCTTGTTTTCTGCACGTTGGTTTAGACACAAGCCTGTAGTCAGCCACACAGGGCTGCGTGTCATGGAGGAGTGATCGTCAGAGGTTTGTCCAGAAAAGAGCATTTTGCTGAGACTTGGGAGAGCCCTGAGAGCTTGGTGAGAGTTTTTCCTGGAAAGGGAGGAGGCAGAGGAGGCCGTGCACATTCACAAATGTGAATTGTTCATTACTCACCCAGCTCTGCACACTTGAGAAGAGTAAAAAAATACAAACCAGTCCAAAGCCACATTTGGATGGCTAGTCATTTCCATCCCTGAACATCAGGGTGTCCATCCCTGAACATCATCCCTGAACATCCCTCCACATGCAAAATCGACTGGAATAAAAGTAATCAGCTGCAGATGGTCTGGAGTGATGCCCCGTTTGGCCAGGTAGCTGCTAGCCTGGGCTGGCTCTGGGGCTTTGAGGCCACACCTTTCTCCTGAGCGTCCCCAGGATCTGGGAGCCCTTCCCCTGCTAGCTTCTCCACTTGACAGGGCTGTTGCTGTTGAATATTATCTGCATTCTTAGCCTAAAAATGTGAGAGCACAAGCCAAAGCACAGACCTGCCTCATGGCGAAGGGCAGCTCCGGTTGCGTGAAGCTGTCGGGTACAGCCACGTGCTGCTGAGCACGGGGATGCCCGCCCACGGGCTGCCAGGCCCCGAGCCTCGAGGACCTCTGATGTGGAAACCAACCCGCGTGTTGAGTGGGAACCCCCTCGAGGGCATGGCCATCTCCTCAGCCCAGTGACATGGATGCCTTTCTTTCCAAAAGCAGGAGGGCATCAGCCCCTTCTTTTATTGCAGTGCTTTTATCCCAGTGCCAAGGACCCTTCTTGGCAGAATTGTTCACAGGAAAGCGGCGGAAAAGAGAATTCAGGATGTGAACGCCTAAACTCTTCATTTTTTTATTTGGATCATGGTCTGTATTTCTGAGCTGAGGGAAGATGCAAACTTTCTGCTGCAGTAGCTTGTATATACGGTTATCTGGGCCCTTTTTCAATTACGACAACACTAATGAGGACTCAGGAGTGTCTTCATCTTTGTCAAAATACTTTAGGAAAACCCTCTAGAGTTTCTAATTTTCTCATGCGTTGGGCGCCACGTTTATTGATTTTGGCTCTGTCAGGCCTAAGAAGAAGAGTAGCTGTCACTTTGTCAAGGTTCGGCAGGAGGAATGCCAGCCTGAGCCGTCTTAGACTTCAGTCGATGGTTTTTGCGTCAGCCTGTAGGCGTACGCGGCAACGTGAAGAACGCAGCGAGTAACTGAGAGGACTGACATCCGTGCTGCTCCTGCCCAGCACAGTCTGAGCCTGTGCCTTTACACCAGAACTGACAGACCTTGCACAACACAAAGATTTCTGCTGTTTTTCCAGACCTGCAGGTTTGCAGTCAGAGCACGATTAGCCCCGTTTCAGGAAAGGTTAGATTCCACAAGATAGTGTTGAGATCGAACGTGAAATGCAGATACCTGCAGCCAAGTGGAATTTGTTGCTTTTAAGAACGTTACAGACTAAATTTTGTGTCCTTCTTCAGCTTGTACATACAAAAGCCAGGAGTGCCGTTTGACCATCCATTACGAACACGGATTCTCTCTTACAACTGAACCGCAAGATGGTGCCTTCTCTAAGACAATTGCACAATATCCCTACGAAAAACTGAAAATGTCCTCAGATGATGGGATAAGGATGCTTTATTTAGACTTTGGAGGAAAGGATGGAGAAATTGTAAGTACTGTGCTTGGCAAAGGGATGCACGTTACCATCTCTTTGGTGGGCCTTCAGGCTGTCAGGGTGGAGAAGCACTGATGGACATTGGACTAGATGATGGTTTTAGGTCCCTTCCAACTGAAATATTCTGTTCTGTTCTATTCTAATAACAGCTGGCCAGTACCACGTTCCAGTACCAATATTTAGAGGTCGTGCTTTCTAGCACAGCACAATGATCTGGCTTTAGAAGGAGAGAAAGTAAAAAGAAAGTAAAACGGTAAAATCATGCAAAGAGGGATGAAAGATTTCTCACATTCAAGAACAAATTGTATTTCTAAATAGCCAGATGTTGGAATTTTCGTATGTATCTATTTCACTTTTTAAATGATTGCAGCTGAAGGAACTTAAGAATGAGATACTATGAATTCCAGCATACACACAGGGACTTTATGTTATGACAACAAGCTATGTTTTAGACATTTTTGAACATCTAGTTGCCGAAAAAAATTGAAGTCTACAAATGTAATGCAAACTGTCTGCTTAGGCCTCTAAGTTAGCTGTCACCATGCCTAAAAATAAGGTGCATATTCCTACGAGCAGTTTAGATACCATAAATGATGCATGTAAACATGGTCTTTCCTGCCAATTTTTTTCCAGCAGTTCCTAAGCACATTGGGTGCTTAGTTCTTCACATCCCTTTTGACAACACATATTCTGCGAACTGCTTATTGTCAGGCTGTCAGAAGGGACTTTGTTACTAGCTCTCAATAAAGTTGATACGTGACTGGTGGAAAGGCAAATCTGGTTTGTTTTTATGTGAACCTACTGTTGAACCTGCTGCCCACACTGACAAGTCTGTCATGCTCAGCAAGCCTGGGGTGAGAGCATCTGAACCATGGCTACGGGAGAAAAAATATTGTCAGCTCCGTCTCCCTGCGGCCGTGCGGACAGAGGAGCCCTGCAGCATCAGCTGAAGGTGCAGTATCCTGGCCCCAGCTGTGACCACCAGCAGATGCACTGGGTATTGGGTACAGCAGTCCCACCACCATCCCTGGTCAGAAACAGTGTGAAAAGTTGGAGGGGTTGAACCTCTTGGAAAGCTGCTTGCAGCATCTGACTCTTGCTGCTGCTTACGCAGGTGGATGCAAGCCCAGAGGCACCAGCATCTCATCTGCTCTCAAGATGCTTATTACTTACTTTTAGTACTTTAAATATTTGCAGCTGTGTGCAAAGGAAAGACAATATGTTGTAATAAAGGGTTGTTATTAATAGAAGCATGTTCAAAACACCAGGCAGCAGTTAATCAAGTACTCCATAAATGATTGCTTATTTGAGCTGTAATCTAATCTAATCATTCTCAACTTGATTTCTTCCTGTACTTTCAGCAACTGGACCTTCATTCCTGTCCAAAACCAATCGTATTCATCATTCATTCCTTCCTGTCAGCAAAGATTACAAGACTTGGCTTGGTGGCATAAGAGGGATACATCTGTTTCTTCAAAGCAAGACGGAGCGACCATGCTCATCTGAAGTTCAGTCAACAGCAGCAACCCCTACCAGCGAGCAGCACACACCAGCCAGGGGTTCAGTGCGGGGCCTTGGTCATCTCTGCAGTCTTCCAAGGCCCGGGTTTCATTTTGATCTGCTAAAGAAGTGGCATGACAAGGAAAACAGTGGATTTCATTGTAAATAATGGAATTTTAAAATCCCGTATGAGACAGTAAAAGCGTGTAGTACCATACATGTAAATGTTTCAGAATCATAACTTGTGCCTATTTCAATGTACTTGTTTCTATAGAGTAAGTCAAGGGCTAAGCAGCCAAGAGTGGGTGTTGGGTGTGATGCAAGCCCCACGTTGGTTGAGTAGAAGTTCTCCAAAGAAGATTGTCCCACCACCCAAAAGTAAGGTATTTTTTCTGTGCTAAGCTGCGCACCACTTACAGATTTTTCTTCTGGGGCACCAGCAGAACCTGTTGCTTGAATTCCCAGCAGCGCACGCAAATACTCACCTTTGAGTCGGATGCTCTAAAGCAACGCAGCTGTGGTCAGTGAACAGCTGGAGGGTCCCTGCCGAGGGCCACTTTCAAATTAAATGAGAGAGACAGCTTGTGAACATTCCTAGGGATGGACCCAAAGCAAGACTAGCTATAGCGATGCATGGAGAGCTGGCTGTCAGCGGGGTGTAGGTAGGAGCGTCCTTTGTTAATGTCCACACAGGATGTATTTTTATAGTGACTTCCCAGAATGGCTTAATGAGTTTCAGCTACCCAGGACCCCCAGTGCAGGTCAAAGTTACCTGAATCCACAGTGAAGCGTGACCGAAGCTGCTGCCAGCACATTTCCATGGCAGTTTTCCAACAGAGAGCCACGCTGAGCTTCCTGTCCTCCTGCCCCTGCTGTGTCACCCCCTCAGCTCTGCCCGGCTAGTTGCGTGGTCTTCATAGAGGAACAAATTGTGTTCCAAGGAGGAAGACTTGATTTTCTGAGACTTTTCTAGATTAGATCAGAAAAGTCAACAGCAAGGGAATGCACTGGGGCAGGAACACGAACTTCACTGCCAGAAAAGCCTTGATATGGAAGGAACTGCTCCTACGAGCATGACTTAGCAAGTCCAGATTTATTCCTTGCTGGCGAAATATAAGGCGCTCACCCGTAACTTACCAGTTCCTGTTTTGCACCAGAACTTACTGTTTTAAGTCAAAACGCAAATTCCTGAGTTTCGGCCTTGTTCACAGTTCTGTTGGGCACAAAGCAGGCAGGACCACTGACCTTCACTTCAGAGGTGATACACACAGCTTGCACCTGGAACTACTGAATTGGCTTCATGTGCTTGGGTGGGAATAGAAAGAAGCAGAACTGGGATGGCATTTATGTTGCTCTTCCACTGTAAAGAGAATTGCTTCATAGAGGGGTGGTTTTTTGTTTGCTTGCAGAGTTTTGCCCTAACTTCCCACTCTGAAGGACAGGAACTGTACAGGGGTAATAAATCAGAAGTTTGTAGAAGTTCACTTCTCCTACTGCAACACTTCTTTTACTCTTGAGAAAGCACACAAGTTTCAACTTAATTTCACTTGATTGGCAAAGAGGAAAACTAAAAACACAGTTTGGTTTGATGTTGTTTTTAAGCTAAGCCTTGAGCGTTAAGCATGAAGTCATGCTGTTTATTCACAGTATGGGAATTAGTTTGTGGTGGTTTCCATAGATATCTTAATGGTCGAAAGCAATTAAAAAATAAAGACGATGGGCTGAATTCACAAATACCGAAAACAATCGTTGAAGAACAATAGCTAAATCGCCATTTGGAAGAGCAGCCCCACGCCCAGCCAAAAGCAAGCCGGGGAGGGGAATCACCTAGCTGTGAACTTTGTTTTTACTGTCATGGTACTTGCACTTATAAAATGAATTCCTCCTGTAAATTCACAGGGTAGGAGATAATGGGCTACATAACTGACCACAAATTTCCAAATGGATGTTTCTGATGCAGCGACCACTGCCGTTCTCCTGACTTTTTTGTGGCAGTTACTTGGGTCTCCTCTGGCTTGGAAGCTTCTAGGAGAACATCTTCCGAGCAGCTGAGCAGTCGGTACGCTGGGGGACCGGCTCGCTGAGTAAGAACTCGCATCACATCATCAAGTAAAACATTGTGTGACGTTTCTAAAAAGCGATTCAGGACAACTTTTATTGCTGTTCCAAAGCATAACTGAAAAACGTGTACGCAAGCTCCTATAAAAGTTCCAGAGGTTAAAGTGAAAACTTTGCATACTGTGGGGTAGGTTAAATACATACGTAAACCATACTGCACTATCTCCTTATTCCTTTAACACTTACAGATCACTGGAATGTTAATGTGCATTGTAAATATTACAAAGTCCTATATTAGTATCAACAATTAAATTACACAATATGTAATCTAAGGTGCTCAGTACTATATGAAGTATAAGTGAATAACGAAACAGTTTGCAAAGAAAATTCATATTATATATATTTATAGAAAAAATAATGATAATTACTGATGCTATTTCTTCATTTTCAGATTTTGGACTGATTCATATTTGGATGGGATAGACGAATTATGGACCTACTCCACATTTATAAGAATATAGTGAATATTTATATTTTAGAGGAAAAGAGTATATTTAATAAAGTCATTTATTGGATTTTTGTGAGGTGAGCTTACTTTGTACCCAAACAAGCTGCCTGGAAGGCTGTCCTTTGGTTTTGGGCTGGGGAAAAATACATTTTAAACCTCAGTCATTCTGTTAAGAATTCAGTTACTTGACAGAACTATTTATCGCGTTGACAGAATAACTTTTAAAAATTCAATTTTGAGGTATTCGCTTACTGTTCATGGCGCATTGGTACTTTCTGTGAGCTGAGCTCAGCGTTCACGCGACACTGGTGCTGCCAAGGACAGGCTGAAAGCGTAAGTACACAGCGTTGCTGCTGCTGCTGGCATTTACCGAGAGGCCGTTCAGAGTCACCTGCTGAAGTTCCAGCGCTTTCACTGGTGTTTACACCTAACTGGGCGGTTACAGATGTCGTAAAAAATCCAACTGAAACTTCTGCTCAAGCTTCTGCATTCAAGGAGCAAGGCCAACACGTGCCTTGCTTAGTTCTTATGAACAGTTGTGGAAAAAAGGATGGTTTTCTTCCCCTCTAATTCTTCACTTAGTGGCCCAAGTAGAAAAGCTAACTGCGGGATTTTAAGTTGGTTCTTCCAGTCTTACCTGAGGTATGGCAGACCCACCTCAGGGAAATCCTCAAAAGGGGTACTCCAGAGTTTCACTCTTTTCACAAAATACTGGCTGTAAATTGAACGGTCTGATCAGAAGGGCTGTACAGCAGCTTCACCGTTACTGGTAAAATGTGATATAAGGTGTTTGTTAAAAAAAATAAAATACAATAAAGCTGAGCTGACTGCGTTCAGGGAAGCATACTGGTGTTTCCTAAGAGTCTTTAAGTGGAACTAGCATCTCTCTTAAGGCACTTCATAAATGAGAACACAACTCTTCACGCACTACCAAGGACACCATTGCCACGAACATCACGAGAATTGGGCTTTGCCAATTAAGTGCTATTATTAAGTGCCAGAAAGAAGGAAGCATTTTTCTGTGGAAGGTAAGTATTCCTTTTCCCCACAGGAGATGGGAGCACGCTCCATCCAGCTCTTTGCATTTCGAAGCACAGCCAATTTGAAGTGGACGTTGATCTGATTTCCACCTGCCAAGAGACTTCTTGGTGCCCTCTTCCCCACGTTTTAAGAGTTAACTGGCAGTTCTTTGATTTCAGTGCAAGCAGAATCAGAGCCTAAATAAACGTTGTGCTCCAGATTGCTATTACTCTCGTTGATTTGTGAATTTATCTTACTTTTTGTAAGAGCCAAACCAGCAGCTTTATAACTAGCTGTATACTGGGGCTATTTCCTGTAGTAATACACTATTACTATAGTATATAATATATATATTACTACATACATGCACACACACTCTATTACTATATACACTATTAATATAAAGTAAATGGGAATTGTAAATGGACACTTTTGAATTCAGCAGTGACTTTGATTTGAAAGAGCAAATATTAATAATATACTAGAAAAACTTAAAGTCAGCCTGCTTGATGTCAGTGCACCCCTAGATTAACCAGGGCAAAAGTTTAGTTCAAAAGCACAAAAACATTAAATATTTAAGTAACAAAGATTACAACCTCTTGTGAACGCATCAGCTACTTTTTCCATGTAGCTTTTCAGTTTGTTTCCTTTGTCAGAATTTCTGTGCTGGCGCAAATAATTAGAGGCATTGGAAAACAAATCCCAAGGGAGAACTGGAGAGTCTGTGAATTTGGAAAAGCATTTGTACGCAGGTCAAGTTCCGTTGTAGCTCAGTGATCTTCGTCATGTGACTGTGGTAATACTCGAATAATCATCTCGCCAAGTCATCACCACCACATCAGTGCTGACTTACCCCAATCTTTTATAAGGGCATAGCATGGGTTACGGGTAGACCATAAATGTGTATTGGTGAGTATGACTTGTATCCTGACTTGCAAAAACATGAGAGCAAGCAGCCAAACCACCTACATTAAAGTATGCATAGGGCAGACTGGATTTTGGGTTCATCAGCCACGAAAAAGAAAATAATTTGAAGTTCAGAGGCAGAGTGACATTATGTGCTGTATCACGTAAGTGACATGTTAGCTAAGCTGTGGGGACTCTTAGTGTGGGATTTTTGAACTACAACAGATAAAATAATTTGGTAGCACTGTAGGTCAAATTATTTTGCATGCTTTTTGTAGGCTAAGAGCATGCACAGGGACAGTTATCCCAGCTCAAACGGGGCACAGTGTTATTAAGCCATGATAATGAACTAGCTATCATTTCCCCTAAAAAACCCACAACATAATAACACAGTGCAAATGAGACATGGGCAGCACCGCATTAGTTCAGTTCGGGGAACGAAGCAAACAAACAATACATCAAAATGCTTATGTTTCCCTAACTGCTTTACTGCTGATTATTTCAGGTCAGCCTTTGAGTCTACAGAATTAATTAAAACAATAAACACTGGGGTCTACTTGCTCATGAAGTAAGATAGATCGTATCAAAATCCAGGGCCCACTATGGACACCATAGAGAGGTAAGGGAGGAATGAGAAAATCAATAAAAAATATTTTTAAAAAGCACCTTTTTAAGGAAGCCCTTCTACAGATGCATGCAGATAGTTTTTCACCATGAAAGCCAATTAAAGAGTATTAATTAAATTCCTGAAGGGGATTTGCTTTGCTTGTGGCAGCTAGCCAGAAGTATTCCACACAATGTAGAGTTTCTGTACTTTTGCTTATCAACATGCCTAATTTATTAACTATAATTTATTTTTGTAATTACAAGTATATAGAAACGCCCACAATTAAGTAGGAAATGCAACTTTCAGTGGCTTGCTTTAGTATTTGGATAATAGTATCAGCATTCAGGCTGAGGATAGGAGATTATATCTTAAGGCTTTTCTCACTCTATGTGAAAGTATTTATACAATATTGGATGTTAAGGAAGATCAGTATCTTGATTAGTTTCTTGTTTTATGGGCAAAGCATTTTAAATTTAACACAGTAGAAATGTAAGTCTTCATGTATTTTGAAGTGTTTGGGTCACAATTTCTGCCTTGAATGCAAAGAAATGTGAACCGTACACACTAATTAATACATTGGAGCGATTTTGTGCATGCACGTATTAAACAATTACTTAATTATCTACCTTCATCGTGTTGCTATTTCACCAAATCAGTAAAACCCCTTAAGTTATTAACCTGGACGCTATGAATGTGTGCCTTTTTGCAGACAAGTGTCAACCCGCTCCAAGACGCACTAGAGCCTGCTGTCACAGTAAAACGGCGACACAGCTTTCCTATGGCCGCTCAGAGTGCAGTTAAAACAAGCACACACCCACAGATAAAAGGTCTTGTAGCATTCAGGAGAACAATAAACATTGGAAGGAGGGAACAGAAGAGTTAAATGCAAGATCCTGTTAGACAGAAAAAACCTCCTTAGGGCCTGGCTTTACACAAAATAGAATTAAGCCCAGAATAATGTCACAAAATCAGGAAGGCTCTTCAGAGAACAAGTAGATTTTACAGTATCAAGCCTAATCTACACATGGTTTAGTTCAATTATTTTTTCATAATACTGAGTTTTGTTTGTATCAGTATTGCTTAATCCAGTTTCCTTCCACGAGAATACAGCAAACGGTAACACTGCATCTCTATCAATTTTGTACCTGAAGGGGCCTACGAGAAAGCTGGAGAGGGATTTTTGAGAAGAACGTGCAGTGATAGGACAAGGGGTAGTGGCTTCAAGCTGAAAGAGGGTCGATTTATATGGGATACAAGGAAGAAATTCTTTACTGTGAAGGTGGTGAGGCCCTGGCATAGGCTGCCCAGAGAAGCTGTGGCTGCCCCCTCCCTGGCAGTGTTCAAGGCCAGGTTGGACGGCGCTTTGAGCAGCCTGCTCTGGTGGGAAGTGTCCCTGCCCATGGCAGGGGGGTTGGAACTAGGTGATCTGTAAGGTCCCTTACAGCCCAAACTATTCTGTGATTCTGTGATCCTGTGTTAGTTTATATGATGAATAGGAAATCCTTACACCGAAAGCTGTAAACTGTATTTTGGTAGGAACTCCTCACCTCAACACAATACTAACCTGAATAATCACACTAGTACAAGCCAGCTACACGTCTGCCACCTCAGCAAACCGAGGCCGAATTTAATATTTTACTGTGCTTGCAACTTGGGTAGAAATTATTCTTTCCATTGCATTTCATCATAGCATGCCAGCTCTTTCACAGCTCTCTCAATCATAATTACTGCTATCGGTTTGATTTTCTCCTCTCCTGTGAAAAGAAATCTCAGCACTCTGTTATGAACTGTTTCTAAGGAGTGTAACTAAAAGTACACTTGAAATTATCCTGGAAATTCAGCTTGTCAGACAATGATCCTTTCTTTACTGGGACTTTGCATCAAGTTTCAAAAGACCTGCTTTTTTGTTTTTTTTTTTTTTTTTTTTTTTTAGTATACTACGACAGAGATAATTGTGACTCGAATTCAGTTATGTTTGCTTTCACCTGCGGAATAGGAACTGTTCTTATTCTGTATAATGTCGACAGCTGGCACTGTAAACAGCTGTTTATACAACAGTAAGTAGTAATAAATATAATAGAGGTCTTCACCCAAAAAAGTAAAACAAAGTAGTTTTGCTATTAAAATTAAATCTGTTGGGTCTTTATTCACAGACAAAACAAATACACTGGTTAAAAAACACACAAAGCTTTATCAAACCAAGTCAAGCCATATTCCTTTTAACAGTGAAACATAATAAATACTCCTTTAAAATAAAACCTTTTTTCATTTGCATTTTTTTTTAAATTAAAACTTTCAGTATCAAAAGTTTCAAAACCTGCCACTGTGCTTGAGAATTAAGTCTATATAATTACACTGACCAAAGTCCTTCTGGTGTGTAGCTATGTGTGCGCACATGTTTGGCAGGAGAATGTTTTTCTTAAAATCCGAAGTGCTCCGTCTCCTCAATTTCTAGGAGGGCGTGAATAGCAGCCAGGCAGTACCTCTACTTGCCAGTCTTCTCCAAAACCCATTCAATCACCTGGGAAAATAAATGAGAAAACAAACGATTTACATAACTCCAGTTCCTGAGAGCAACTTAAGAACATCTCATACACTTTATCAATTCTTTCTTTATCACCACCTCAATCACCACCTGTGTGGTATTTACTAAACAGGATTTAAAAGTAATTCCTTCAAAAGGAGAAAGAGTTGGTAATAAACTGAGAGGATACACCATTACCCAAGAATTATATTTAACCCTATAGAACACCTTGTCTGTAGAAAAAGGGATTTTTATTTGCCCGGAATTGAGCTACTTCATGCCACTCTTTCCATGTACTAGCAACACGCTGCACACACAATGCTAAACAGCGCGTGTTTCCAGCACAAAAAAATTCCTAAAGCTGTAAAAGAAAGGGTAAAGAATAATTTGTACACTGCTGTATCTACCACCATTATTACTGCTGTTTCCCAGACAGGGTAGTTCTTCAGGCCACTGACAAGTCCTGAGCAACTATATTATTATTTTGTTAAATGAAGGTAGTTTCAAAGTATTCTCTAAGACAGGGAGAGATGCCCAGCTTAAGAGATCCCCCATTTTAATGCCTCTCCTTCCGACAGCAAACATACATAAAACTACCAGTTGGTCTCTCCAGACAAAAATTGTGGTGAGAAACAGTGTATCAGCACAATATCCCAGTTCAACACCAAACATTGGAACCCATGTAGTTTTTGAAACCTTATCATCTGTAGAAAGCAATTCACAAGAGAACAAAGTACAGAACACAATAAATATTACTCTCCTAGAATAAATTCTGTGGGGATCTAGCAGTTTTCCTTAAGAGTTTGGGGTTTCTTATTTAACTACCCCATTCCAAATCCTTCCATTTAATTTATGATTTTGAGAACTGTTCTGTAAATACACGGGATCGTTTTTTTTTTTTTTTTTAAATCATAGAGTCACTTCAGCATGTTTTTCAGAATTTAAATCAAAGACTTACTTAATTTCTGGAGGACAGGAGTATTTACTCCTGTCATTTGCTCTGCGCTACGGTTCATATAAATCCTACCTTACACACAAGTAAGCTCATCTGATATCCCTTGTGCTTACAGTTATTCACAAGCTTAAAATTACTAATTTTCATTGCTTCTTTTAAGAAATTTATTTCCTTTATAGATGCCTTTATTGCTTCCTAACCTTTGCAAAGAAATGTTATTTCCTTCAACAACACGGGAAGAAGAATTCCCCAATGATCCAGGCTTTCTTTCAAATGAAGAAAAATCTCATCTCTCCTTTTTTTCCCAGTGATGCAGAAACCTTTATTGCCTTCATCTCCATTTCTCACTGGGCCACATCATACTGGCAGCTATAACTAGAATACCATCTAAAACCTGAATATATGCAACTGGAAATTTTGCCACGGGACTACTGATTGAGAGAATGTGTTTATGAGATCAGAAAGTGAAACGAGACCTACAGTCAACGGAATGCATCTCTTCATCTCAAAGTTGTGGACTAAACCATCCTACAGTCAAACTGCCACCACCACATTTAGCCTTGGCTAGTTACAGGAGCAAATAAACAAATGGTCTTACCTGTTTAGCATTGTTATATGCTGTTTTCTTCATCTCATCAAGAAGTCCTCTAGAAGTTTTAAGATCCTAAACATGAAACACAAAGCCACAGATATTAGCAAACTCACGTGCTCACTCTAATTTGGATTATAAGAGCCCTAATAAGCAGGGCGGGTCTTACCCTTTTATCAACTTGTGCAGAACCACAGAAGAATTATTTGACCTTTTTTTTAAAATAAATAATCTAAATCTATTCCCCCTACAGTAGTCCAAACCTAGTACTCACGTGTGCAACTGAGCCTTCCTAACCTGTAGCAGACTTCCAGAAATTATTTTTTTTTCTTAAATGATATTCAAAGTTCTTACAGCCTTGACTGAAATCTTATTTCTATACAAAGATGTAAATCAACTGTGCGCTTAGATTGCAATACAGAGTTCTAGCAAAGAACAGAGAAGATGGGGAGAAAGAAAATCAGTGTAAGAAAGGAAAAACCTAGAATGTCTTGTCTGTTTTGTAGTCCAATCAGCCCAACCTAATCCACTCTCTTGAAACAAAGCAAGCACATAACTTTGCCTAAAGAGAAAGGAGAACTAAGAAAACTCCTTTACCACTTGTCTCCAAAGGAAGGCGATACCTATGGTATCATGCTTCTGAAGCAGCAGACAAGGATTCAAAGGGCTCCCACAGACCTGGAGCTGCAAGACAGTTCAGGAGAACAAAGCCCTGCTACCCCTCTCTCTAGATCAGCTTTCCGAAGGACAGGATCCCTCCAGTACTATTCCTTTTGCTCTTCTACTTGGAATTCAGCGGGGAACCCATCTGATTTGCCCTACTCGCTCATCCCTACACACAGCTCTTTCTGATTTTGGATTAGAACATCTTCCTTCGGGGCATATTTCAGGGAGATTTTGGGAGTGCTTACAGAACGACTGCGCGACTGTGTTCTAATTACTTAAGAAGTTGGTTCTCATCAGCAAGATGTTCTAATTGTCTGTGTAAGCATTCAGCCCTCTTCAATTGCAACTTCATTTAGCTTAAATCACCTTTACTGAAGTTGACTAAACTGAGGCAGTTCACAAATAGCTGTAGGCTAAGTGGATGCAAATGACCAGAAACAGCAGCTCAGATGTGAGCAACAGCTTTTAAACACCCTGTACTGTAATTTAATTTGTTTTGGTGCCCAGACTAAGCAACATGGGCTCAAGCATTGACTCATAAAGTCCCCTAGGTATTGTGGAAAAAACTCTCATCTCCTCCTAAAAATGAGGTTGATGCAATTCTACACCGTTGTGCCAAGTCAGTATGCGTTAGATAGTTGTGCACATTTACAAGGACTTCTGTGAGCATGGCAGGGAACTAGAATTTCTGAAACAGTTGTGCAAGCTACCTATTCAGCCAATAGCCTTGGAACAAGGCAGAAGCTGAGCTGTCACAGCTATGGCTGGAGACAGCTACAACAGCTAGGGAAAACAATCTAGTATAAGCGTGACCTTTCCTAACAGACCACTGCTTTAACATATTATCTCACATAAAAGATTACTGCTTTGTAAGGTTTAAAACAAAATAAACAGCCACCAAAATATAATGTAAAACTAGCTTCTGCATTTGACAACAAGTCCAAAGTTTTATCCACACACTCTACACACTACTAGGAAACACTAGCTTAAACAAGTCTCAATATGACACAGCCTATTTCAAGTTTTCTTCAGGACTGGATTCACTTAACTAAGAACAAACAACTGTAAGAGCATGTCTTCTAGTTACCTTTAAGTAGAACTTTGATATCTCAAATAGACGCTGGCTGCACGATGCAAAGCACTTGTGATCCTTTGCAATTCCCTGTTTTTGAAGAGTCTTAGCAACCACCTCCTTCAGCATCTTGGAAAAACAGAAACACCCTCAAAAGTTCATCCTGATTATTGGCATGAAAATTAGTCCAAGGGAGAAGAAAAAAAAAAAAAGAACATACTCTCTTTTTTGATCTTGCCTCTGTCATTAATCCATTGGCCAAATGCCGTCAATCCACTGACCAAATTTGGGCAGAGTTATTTAACAATCCATTTCCATTTCCTTTATCTCCAAAATAAAGGAAATGCTTACAAAGCAGTGTAAAGGTTCAGTGAATATTCATATGCGGCCCAGAAGACAGAAAAAAATTGATAATGGCTTGGGTTTTCTCTTCTCCAAAATAATATATACATTTTATATTAATTTTCTACATTTCATGACTCCTATATTGATATCCATTCCCACCTTTATTATTGCTAGTTGTTATCTCTCTCAGCCTTAATTCCCTGGGCTTGACTGTGGCCTTTTAGTACTTACAGGAGGCTTATAAGAAAGACAGGGACAAACTTTTTAGCAGGGCCTGTTGGGATAAGACAAGGGGTAATGGTTTTAAAGTAAAAAAGGGTAGATTCTGACTAGATATAAGGAAGAAATTTTTTACAATGAGGGTGGTGAAACACTGGATCACGTTGCCCAGAGAGGTGATAGATGCCCCATCCCTGGAAAACATTCAAGGCCAGGTTGGACAGGGCTCTGAGCAACCTGACGTAGCTGAAGATGTCCCTGCTCACTGCAGGGGGGTTGGACTAGATGACCTTTAAAGGTCCCTTCCCACCCAAACTATTCTATGACATAATACTCCGTACATACTTTTTCATTCCTTGCTTCTGCAGCACTGTCCTCAGTGCCTTCAGGATTCACTTACACAAGTGAACCAAATTAAATTTAATAACAACAAATAGAGATGAAGACAGCTCACTTAGAGTTAAAAAAAAAAGTAAAAAATCAAGTCACATGAAAGAAGTCAAGCAGATGCTTTTTCACAAACAAAACAACATAAACCTTTACCCTTGTATGTTTCTGAGACCTCGATTCCTTGGCTGGCTTTGAAGTCTCAGATTCAGTTGCACTTCTGTGACTTGCTGATCCAGCCTTAGTGATTACTTTGTGGGGCTGACCAGCCTGTTTCAATGGCATCGAAGCTAAAGAAACTGATCTCTCAGTGCACTTCCTCATTACCACAGCTGTGTAGTGACTCCCACTACTTCCACTTGCCTGAGAGAGGAGGGAATCTGTACTCTCAGATTTGGTTAGCCTGGAATGAAAGGAAAAAAAAAATAAAAAGGGTAAAAAGAACTTTTAGACTCTGTACTGACTCTTTTGGTGCCTTTGTTTCTGCTTCAGAGGCTGCTGCTAAGAGTATTAAGTAATGTACATTCTTGCAAACAGCACCTGAAAGCAGTAGACAGGATTCTACTACATAACTTCTTTTGTATTAGAAGAACACTTCACTAACTGATTTGGTCTCCGATATGTAGATCCACTGCACCTCTGATTAAACAGTCCAGAAACAAACTGAAGAAACAAGATAACTACAAGAAACTCTTTGCGTGAAAGGGTAGTTTTGCACACGGACCCCTCATCTAGATGGCTAGGAAAAGCCAAGTTTGCTGGCCTTCAGTCTCAGGATAAGACAAAACTTCCTGAAACTATCTAATTTCTTTTGGCCCTACAGGAATATCACAACTATGGGAAGTTGGGTGTTACAATTCTACAGGAACATTGTAATGCTTGATCATTCAACTATAAGAGTGTTTGTAATTCTGAAACTCCAGTTTATGAAGTGCTAAGTACGATCGCACCTTCTTTTCTAACTGGTCAGTAAGCTGCAAAAGATATGGCTATTCCTAAAACCAGAACTCTGTTGCAGGCTTACTGTGATTAGACTGCAAAGGGTATCAAACTAGAAAGAAGAAAGAAGTATTACAGTAAAAAGTGAACTCAGAAGTAGTGTTACATAGCAGTTAATTTTTTATTGATGCAAAGAGTTTGCATCTTTAGAGTGAGGACAAGGTACAAAGGGAAGTCCTAAAAAATAGACTTCCAGAAAAGACTTTAATAAACAAGGCTGACAATAAGTTTGAATTTTGGTACGTCATCTTACACCAGCAGTTCTTTGGATTAGAAATTCAATTACTCTGCTTGTACAATGCTTGGCTTTCTAAACCTTTAGTTGTCTATTTGTAGTGCAACAGCACTGACAGTCTCGGTCCCAGACGAGGCTATCTGTTGTCTTTTCAAAGGCGCTTGAGACTTTGCAAGACAAAACCCCAAATCTCTTAAATAAAAGGTGCCTGTGTTGCATGGTTTTGATTAATCTCGTGCTATCAATGAGAGGTCACACTTGAGAAAAAAAAAAATGAACCTACAGAAGAGAATTAAACAACTAGAACATTTGCCTAGATAGTTTCACTAAAAACATTTTAAGATGAAAGAAAAGATGCGTTTCACAAGAGACTACTGAAATATTTCATGCTAAAGATTTATTTTATTCAGTGCATTACCTTTTCTTGGGATGAAAGCAATCCAAGTCTTTTGCTCTGCGTTTTAGCCTTGATGCCTCTGTTTTGAATTCCCTTTGTAAAGACTCTCCATCAGGGACACTTCCAGGCTCTGACAAGACTGCAGGAGACGGGAGAGGGCTCAAGACAAACGGCACAGGGCAGCACTCTTTGGTGCAAGTAGTCTGAGTTTCATAACGAATAAGACGAGTTTGAAGTTCAGCATATCCCACATCTCTCTCTAAAGCTCTTCCGTTATCTAGACAGAATCTGAAATTGAAATTGGTGAGAGATCTGCGAGAGAAAGTCTCTTGCTTTATTACAATCAGAAAAAAAACCAGAACAACTTACTATCGACTATCACACAATCTCCAAAACTTTTTATGTTTGGACTGGTGTTTTGTTCTGAAAGATACCTTCAAACAGCCCACTAAATTAACATACGTCTGATGAATTTAGCTATATTTAAGTCTAACATCAACAAAGAAGCTGAATAATATACTGCTTGTAAGTCTTCACCCTGTGGTCTTACAAGTAAGATTTCCATGGACATGAGTAGACTCTTTTCCTTGAACAATAAGCGATGGATTAGGATGCTGACAATGGATTTTTTTTCTCCTTAGCCCTGTGTTAGATTTGTATCATCAATGTCCCTATTTTAGATTTCACTGATTTCGTATTCAGTCCATACTTAACAGATGTCACCCCTGTTAACACACTAACCAGTTAGACTCTCCAATAAAACAGTGATGAAGACAGCTCTGAACCCAAAGACATGATGAACCCAGCACACCATAATGGATACGGAATTTTTAGACCTTGCAAGCATCCACCAAACCTTTGAGACCCAGAAAATACCAGGTTATTATACATAAAATGATACACTCTAAAATGATAATATGATTATACAATGTGCCTCTGTTTCTTCCTGGGAGAATGCAAATTTCCTAGTCAAAAAAACCTCCCAGCCAAACAATCCCAGATGTCTTCAGCATGTATGCCATGAGAGAATCACATAGGAAATGCCTGAAGAAAACATCCCAAAGTACAATATATGTAATTTGCAAGTTACAAGTGCTTCAGTAATCCCAAAATGCAATGATACTGACATAATTTTAGGACGAACCAGGTTGTGCCAAAACCTAGGCTGCTGTGAGATTGTATTAATCAAGTGTAACTATGAGGAAGATAGGGCATGGTAAGTGTTTTAAATGCAATTTAGTACAGATTCTTTGCTAACTGCACTCTTTGCAAATGCAACCTTTAGCTTTGTCCAAGATAAGCACTGGTACATGAGAAAGTCCCATTTTTTAAATGTTAAAAATACAGAAGTGTCACTGAACAAGCACAGGCTTCCCAGTTTACAAAGAATAAGGTGGTTTAATAAATGAAAACAAAGAAACTGTACTAAACATGGTGGAGCTGAAAGAGAACAAAACATACTCATGAGATTACAACATTACAAAATGCATCCTAACTAGCTTTTCTTTTGTGTAAATGATCTCCAAGATTCCTTGCAAGAGATGAGTACTTCATCGCCCAGTAACTTACACCACCTCTACTGCAAGGAAAGAGAACAGTACTATCCAGCATCATTCCATCCTTTTCTCTACAAGCATTCTGAACAATGGGACCTACATCTCAGCCCACCCTCCACACTACTTAGTGATGTTTCCTACTCTTAGGAACTCTAGACATATTCTTTACTTTTATTTTAACACAGAGTTACGTTAAATTGCTGGATCTGATTTTTCTGCTTTCTTCATATGCAGGGAGAAATTAACTTTTCTAATAGCAGACCACTGAATCCATTTCTACAGCTGAGTAATACTCTCTACTAGAATAAATTCATTATCTGATAACAGTAAGTTACCTTACAAATTTCAAGGTATTTAATTTTCCTTATTTATATTCTCAGTCCCCTAAGCAATCACATCCCCTACAAAGATAAAAATGTTTTTATCTTTAGAAGTTAAATTGCCATTTGACTCACTCTGCTTTAACGGCAATTACTTTCTCTTTGCAACACAGGATCCAAGTGTTTGGCACAGGTTCATTACACCAGAAATCTGATTTAATCATAACTGCTACTCCTGGTGTTGTTGACAAGACTTTACTTCCAAATATAAATACAGCAGCCATGCGGATGGAAACTGCAATCACAACTGCGTGGTACAAAACACACCTGCTCCAAAAGACCGTATGCTTCCTATGATACTCTTGCTACAATATATTCTGGATGTACATCTTTGGGCTCCTCCCTTCCACGCTAGTTTCTATCATCTCACTCTACTGCTTCCCTCCCTTACTGCTAGCACATTCCCCTTGTAATATTAAATGCCAGTGTCCCCCTCCTCTCCACAATATCCCTCTGGGCTCTACCTGTTATATTTTGCTACGAGGAGAGGCAGCACCAGCCATGCTGTGCCTGCTCTGCATCCCCATGCACCCTCCCTGCAGAGGTCAGGCAGGTCAGCAAGCCACCATGCGCCGACACTCAACGGCCAAGTGATTTCTTCCCACACCTGGGAGGACAAATCTGCATTTCTCCTATTGGCCCAGTTGCCTCTTTGTGCTTTTTGTTACAAATCTAAAATAGCTAAAAGGCTGATGAGTTACCACTCAGAAAAAGAGAAGAAACAGATAGCTGAACAGATAGAATGACTGCTTCACTTCCCTAGAGAACGTGGATAAAATTACCAGGTATTAAGCACAGGCTTAACCAAACTATAGGTGAGGTTGACAAGAAAAAAAATACTAGTAATATCATTAGTCAAATTCTGATAAACTGAAAATGCGATTTTAGGAGGCAGTAGAAATTTGCATGAAGACCAAACTGCCTACACTTGGTATCCGCCGCATTTCTTAACATATACTGCGTTAAGACTAGGAGTCTGTTCACAAGGAAGACTTACGCTGAGTTACCTCCTCTTGTGTTTGTCGATGTCCTTTTCTTCTTCTCCTCACTGACAATATTTATATTCTTCTAAATAATTTTTATACAGTTACATCACATGATGTTTGCCTATCTGAAGCTCTGACAACTAACTAAAGCTGTCTCTCTGGGACTAAATATGCTCCTAACCACATCGATCCTTTTGAAAATTCTTGCCGCTAACGCTTGCCTGCTGGTGGTGTTTTCAGGTTCGCTGACCACAGAGGTAGCTTCACAGCAGGTCTCATAAACCTCACGACTGTTAGTCTGAAAGTGGCTACAATTTAATATTGAAGTAGGAACTACACATGTAATTCACTCATGTGCTGCTCCAGGGATCTATTATGTGCCAACGAACCCTCTCCTCCTTGCCACCTCCAATTCTCAATTAAAATTTTCGGAGACATTGAGAATAGCTGCAGCAGTACAACTTAGAAAAAAACACCACACCCAAAATCTAAATGTTTTTACATTACCACCAAGGCAGGTGTGTTGCAATTTAAACCAGTGAATAAAATAAAGGTAAAAAAGGGAGAGGTAGCATGTGCAAAGTTGCTCCAACAGAGGAAAAGGATACACAAAGTTTTCCATAATTAACGTTCACGTTGCTTGAAATGTTTCTAATTATACCTTGAACGAAAGCTGAAAAACAATTTGGGGAAAAGAAGCCAGGAAACTTACTCAAGTCCATGATAATGGCATCCAGCTGCTTTTTCAAACGGCAAATCTCTGAGTTGCTGAGGAGTAAGCTCTGGTGTCAAAAGGAATGCGTTTTCACTGAAAGGAAAAAAATACAGATCTCTTAACTAGGTACAGTCAAGATAAATCATACTTCCAGAAGTCAGAAACAAATGTCTTGGCACAGGAAGACCAAAACAGCACGTCTTGTAGCTAAGCACCCGGGGTACAGCACCAATGGAAAATTAAATCTCCACTGAAGCGAGAATCACAGAATGTTCGGGGTTGGAAGGGACCTCTGTGGGTCATCTAGTCCAACCCCCCTGCAGAAGCAGGGTCACCTACAGCAGGCCACAGAGGACCTTGTCCAGGCAGGTCTTGAAAATCTCCAGAGAAGGAGACTCCACAACCTCCCTGGGCAGCCTGTTCCAGTGCTCCGAATTTAAGTTCAACTAACTAATACCTATTGAGCTATTATTATTAAAGAAGCTCTTTAACATTTCCACCAGTTTAGAGGCCACTGCTCCAAATAATTTATCAATAAAACCAGACAACTATAACCCCATATCACAACGGGGGCACCTGAGTAGTAGAATGAACTGACAGGAACCGGGAACTGATCTCCCATTTCACAGTCCAGTGCTATATTCCGTGAATTCCTTCCCTTTAGCTTGAAGCTGTTGTCTCACCCAACTAGTCACCTTTCCTAGGCTTCATAATTAATCACTTGTCTCCTGTGATATTTGAGTTCCAGCTAGTAACTCTCTGCAACTACATCATATGAACGTATCTGAAATTATTTCAACAGAATAAGCCATAGCAAGACAGAAAGAGCTTGCAGCCAGATCCTAGCATACCCTGTAAAGTCACATCCCAATTATCTCTAAAGAAGGGAAGAGATGACGGCAAGAAATAGCCGTATCTGAAACGTATGCACTGCTTCAAGTTTTATTCACATAGACTGTCTCTGCACCATTACCATTGGAAAAATTATCTGGCAAAAACATTCAGGAACAATGTGATGCTGAACCTAGCAAGATGTCCATTTAGAAAGACTGTCAGCCAAAACTCTAATCTATCAAACCTCTATTTAAGCTCAAACATGGACAACACGTGAAAACTCCTTTAATTCACCGGTCTCATTCTGCTCATTCACCAGTATTCCTTCTGCTGGTCAGGAAAATCTTTGGGTCTGTAGTCACTGTGTTTGAACATCTACCATGCAAAGCCAGTAATTATTCCAGAGAATCTAGTCAGAGCTCCTGCTAGGGGGGCAAGCAGCGAGGAGCCCAGGGTTCTGCCAAAGGCAACTAACAGCAAACTGGTACGCCAGAAAGGGACTTGTTCACCACCTCCCAGACAACCATCTAGCTGTAGATTTTCCTAGGTTTTCTGGTTTCTTTTTGGATCAAGTGGAATACATACATACAGCATTGGCAGACCTTGCAGCCTTCAAGCAAAAACATTTAGTCTGCTTTATTATGAGGAAATGCTGAGGGAGCTAGGATTGTTCAGCCTGAAGAAGAGAAGGCTGAGAGGCGACCTTATAAATGCTTACAAATATCTCAAGGGTGGGTGTCAGGAGGATGGGGCCAGACTCTTTTCAGTGGTGCCCAGAGACAGGACAAGGGCCAACGGGCACGAACTGAAGCATGGGAAGTTCTGTCTGAACATGAGGAAGAACTTCTTCCCTCTGAGGGTGACAGAGCACTGGAACAGGCTGCCTAGGGAGGTTGTGGAGTCTGCTTCTCTGGAGATATTCAAGACCCGCCTGGACAAGGTCTTGTGTAGCCTGCTGTAGGTGACCCTGCTTCTGCAGGGGGGTTGGACTAGATGACCCACAGAGGTCCCTTCCAACCCCTAACATTCTGTGATTATGCGATTATCTAGAATCTTGATTTTGGCTTTATACCTCCCTTAGACATCCAAGATCTATAAGTATTACAAGAGAGACCCATAGTAATGTACTACATAGCAAAGGTTTCGTCATCATACTTTCTCTTAACAACTGGCAGAAATCCAAGCAAACTGGGGCAAAACCCCTCAAATTCAGACCTCACTCAGCTATAGCTCAAAGCAAATGCTTTAAAGTATTTTATGCTACAAAGCTTCTCTGGAGGCTTTGAAAAGTCAGGGATTAAACCCACATTTTTGTAGCAAACAAATTATTGACTTTTCCCACACAACTAAGTGGAATGAAAATATTTTATGTTACAGCCAAAATCCTAAATCATCTGCACTCATTAACTAACGACATTGTAGGAGACTCAATCTTCACTGGGTATTTTCTAACTTGCTTGAATTCTCCACTCAGAACATCTTTAAATGAGTTTCAAAACTCCAATAAGTACTTCGAAAAATCTCTAAAACCCTACAGAACCTTTCCCTCTCACGTCCTCTTGATTTGTTACATATAAAGAAGTTTAAAAAAGGATCAAGGGCTGTATCCAATAATTCCATTATACATTCTATAAATCAACATTAAAAAGATCAATAAATATAACTCTAGTGACTGCCAAGATTGTCTTGCCTGCCTAGCATTCTATGACACACTGCACAAACAGTATAGGCTCTGCTTCTGCATACACTATCTGACTTTTACATAGGTTGGCCTTCAGTCTAACAGATGTGCAGATCCTGAAAATTACTCCACTGACTCCTCGTATCAATCTTCCTGCTGCAAAAGCAGTGGTTAACACACTAGCACCAGCGGACACGATAAGGATGAATTCTTACAAAGCAGTCAGAGTACACAACCTTCCTTTAAGGAGCACTTTACCACATAAGACTACAGATAGAAATGCTGGAACAGCATGACACGAGACAAACACAGCTCAATAGGCTCAGCTATTGCCTGTTTTACACTTTATTTGCGTTCCCACCTAGTCGCCCCTCCACTGAATGACAGAAATCACACCAATAAAATTCACGTTCTGCCACAGTAGAATCATAGGTTGGAAAAGACCTCCAAGATCAAGTCCAACCATCCACCCAACACCACCATGCCTACTAAACCATACCCTGAAGTGCCACGCCTACACATTTTTTGAACACCTCCAGGGATGGGGACTCAACCACTTCCCTGCACAACCTGTTCCAATGCCTGACCACTCTTTCAGTAAAGAAATTTTTCCTAATATCCAATCTGAACCTCCCCTGATGCAACTTGAGGCCACTGCCTCTCATCCTATCGCTAGTTATTGCTAGTTACCTGGGAGAAGAGACCAACACCTGACTCACTACAACCTCCTTTCAGGTAGTTGTAGAGAGCAATAAGGTCCCCCCTCAGCCTTCTCTTCTCCAGAATAAACAGCCCCAGCTCCCTCAGCTGCTCCTCGTAACCTTCACCAGTTTTTTTGGCCTTCTTGGCCACCTGGGCACACTGCTGGCTCATGCTCAGCCGGCTGTCAATCAACACCCCCAGGTCCTTTTTTGCTGGGCAGCTTTCCAGCCACTCCTCCCCAAGCCTGTAGCGTTGGATGGGGTTGTTGTGACCCAAGTGCAGGACCCAGCATTTGGCCTTGTTGAACCTCATACAGTTGGCCTCGGCCCATCGATCCAGCCTGCCCAGCTCCCTCTGCAGAGCCTTCCTACCCTTGAGCAGATTGACACTCCCACTCAACTTGGTGTCATCTGCAAACTTACTGAGGGAGCACTCAATCCCCTCAACCAGATCATTGATAAAGATGTTAAACAAAACCCGACCCAAAACTGAGTCCTGGGGGACACCACTCGTGACCGGCCACCAGTTGGATTTAACTCCATTCACCACCACTCTCTGCGTTCGGCCATTCATCCAAATCACCGACAGCTAGTTTCTCCAGGAGGATGCTGTGGGGAACAGTGTCAAAGGCCTTACTAAAGTCCAGGCAGACAACATTCATAGCCTTTCCCTCATCCACTAGGCGGGTCACCTGGTCATAACTTCTGCTTTGCTAGAAAGGCTCGTTTGGAAATGTACACGTATGGTGGCGGCAGCTTGTAGGAGACCCATGGCAAAGGTCTACTGGCACACCTTTGCACATCAGGTGATTATCTGGTTATTTAAATGCATAGGACCAACATCTGGCCACTGCAGACTTTGAAAGAACTAAATAGCAAGACAGACTGGAGGACCACAACCATTGATCTCACTGGCAGGCAGGTGATGCAAGGATGTCGCAAGTTGCAAACTCAGATCCAGTTAGGCCATTCTAAGACTCTCATTCAGTCGTTCACATTCCCCTACATCAGTTCCGAGTATGGACTTCAGTGGTTTTAATATGCCGGATTCATACCGTTTGGGAATTTGTAGTGGCTGAAGATCACCAACTGGTAGCCCCTCTGGTGTGAAATATTTCAGTAATTCTTTAGCATCGAGCAACGTCAGTGACTCCCTCTGGCTATCTTCATGCCCCAGCAGTTGCTCAGATGACTGTGCAAACATAGAAACTCTGAAAAAAGGAAACAAAAAAAAGACCAATCCAAGGTTTTTTTTTTTCTTTTCACTGTAGTAATCTCATTGCATTAAAAAAAAAAACCCCACCATCGCTAGTCTGGAGCAATTAAATGTATTTCCAAAGTAAGATGAACAAGGTTGCTCCTTGAACATTTACATGAATGTTATGATATATGATAAATTATATTTGATGCAAATTCTCTACCATCCTACTGAAGAAAGCAATTTCTTGAAGATTTTATAACTTAGTTATGAAATACAACAGAGTAAGAACATTATTCATCCCTTTTGTCTATTTATGGACCTGTAAAATCAAAAATTAATCCCCATTTAAGAAAAAAGAGACATACAATATTCAGCAAAGGAACCAAAAAGCCACTACTGTATGCAACTCTCAACTCTATTTGTTTTAGTGTCTTCACTCAAGTATAACAAAGATCACTCTTTACTGTTAAGCAACATGCTGTACGCTGATTCAATATAAGGAGAAGATAACCAGTTCCGAATACAATTAAATAAACACTAACTGACTATGAAACAGAAAGGTCCTTCAGAAAGCTTTTCAAAAGCTGATTAGAAGGAAGAATTTTACCTATTTAAGAAACAAAAGCCAATAATAATAATAGCCATGCAAACGCAGATATTGCACGTGAGAATTTCTGACATGCAGAACTCCAATCTAAGCCATGGCCAACGATGGTATTTTAAAGACAGACAGGGGCTGGAAGTGACTAAGAAAAAGGCAATTGGACACCTGACTCTAACGGTCTGTCAGCAAAAATGTTAAGACCCAGCAAAGATCATTAAGTCTTATACAAAAGCGAGAACTAAACTGAAATCAATAGGCTCTACTAAGTGACACAAAGGTCTACTACAGGTTTCACTCAAATAGCACTGAAGGAAAAAGAAAACTAAATATAGATTTCAAACATAAAACCAATAGGACCTTCAAAATTATTTGAGATCTGATACTATGTCTTGACTATTTAGGAAATATGAGGAGATTAGAAACACATTGTACATGCTGACAAAAACCGCTGTACTATCTTTCTACGCGTGTTGGGGGGAAAAAAAAAGCTTTTTTATGTTTTTCTACTATAGCTACTATTTTCTAGTAGTGCCATTTTGGTAATTTAGTTTTGGAACTATGTTACTTTTAGCTCATTTTCAGCTACATTTTGTCAATTAAAAAAAAATTCAAAACAATACTACTATAAATACCAAGAAAATACACCTTTGGAAATTGACAGAAACTTAGTTTTAGCATTAAGCAATGTTTCCTCCGAAAGCTTATGAGTATATTTAAAAACTGTTTACAAAATGGCTATCAACATATACAGTTCCTCTAGAGAGATGTTCAATGGCCACTACAAAGAAAATCTCCCATATTTAACCATTACCTCATTTTTTGTTTGCTTTTTTCAGAGTTTTCCAAATTCTGAAGAACATGTCTTTCTGGCCACTCCATTGGATCTAGCTCCATTAAATCAGATTCTGTAAGGAATATATGATGGATAACCCTTAACAGAAGTAAAGAATCTTATTCTTTAAAGAAATATATATCTGCATATATACTCCTCTTATCTATCTAGATGTTCTACTCCTTTTATCTACCTATATGTATGTACATATTCCTTTATCTATATATAAAAGTATAAAATATAAGGACAACCTGCCTGGTGCAGTAATCAGAAACGTTTTCTGCATATGATGGATAACCCTTAACAGAAGTAAAGAATCTTATTCTTTAAAGAAATATATATCTGCATATATACTCCTCTTATCTATCTAGATGTTCTACTCCTTTTATCTACCTATATGTATGTACATATTCCTTTATCTATATATAAAAGTATAAAATATAAGGACAACCTGCCTGGTGCAGTAATCAGAAACGTTTTCTGCATTTTTATTTTTTTTTTGTTAAGGAAAAGAAAGGAAATAGTTAATGCAAGGGTAATTTCATTTAGAAAAAAAAGCACAGAAAGCTTCCATTTTTCCCCTGTTTTGGTAAAAGACTCTCCTTCTTTTAGTGAACAACAGGTATGAAAACACATCAAAAGAGAATAAGCAGTGTATTTTCCAAATAATGATTCTTACCAGAGATCACAGTGCATGACCTAGTTTCACTGGCAACCTTCTCTAGAACAGGTTTAGGAAGACTGGTGTTGCACAGGTCCAAAAAACATTCTCTTGTAAGTTCTAACATGTTTTTGAACTCCTCAGTAGAAATAACTGGAGGCTGCCCGGTCAATTCCTTTCTCTCTATAAAAGGAAAGAGAAAGAAAGAAAAGCTACTGCACTTGCTAAGTAACAAAGAACAACTGGAACCTGTTAAAAAATAACAAAAAACTCCCCACCCCAAAACAATAATGCAAGTACGGTAACTTGACACTTACTACTGTACCCTTAAGCAAGGCACAGGTGGTTATTCCATAGGCAAGTAAAAAAAATTTAGCAGTGAGAATAGCTGAAGCCACATGTGAATCACCTTTCATTTCTGTATATGTGCATTTCCGAGTAGAGATGAACACCTGGACTTGCTGAGCCTGAACACGAAAAGCTCCAGCCTGCAGAGCCTCCTACTCGTCTTATTTTCACTGCTGTTGCAGCAGTGTGGCTCCAACATCACAGACAATCTGTTCCCGTCTCTTTGGTCAGAACACCAAGGGTCAGGTAATTCTGATACGATTTTGGATGACTAGCAAATCCCAACCACTCCTATTCAGCCTTCATCCCAATGGAAAAGAGCAGCCCACTCGAAATAAACTAAAGCACAAAATCCAAAGCAGCCCCAACCTCAGGAATAAGTAGAGAGGAATCTGAGAAGGACTGCCAGTTGGTAGGGTGAGGGGTGGAAGACAAGACGATTAGCAGAAATCTTATTTTCCTTAAGCTGGTATTCTGTTAATGATAATACACTTAAATTCTCTTCACGGTATGCCATTTTCAATAATCTAGTCAATCTCTCAGAAGCGTTTTTTGTTTTAATTGAGTCTCTTTCAGCAATGGTCTTAGAAAAAAGCAGGACAGTCAAAAGTATTTCTCTGCAAAGTCATGAAAATCTACAGAGGAGGATATTTCAGTTATTATTATGAATGATGTATCAAGATAAATGTAACAAATTTCCAATGCATACTTCTCCTCTGCTGTTCAAGACTTTTGCAAGAAAGAATAAAATAAAATAAAATAAAATAAAATAAAAAAATCCAACAATAAGATTTTTTTGGGGAAAAGCAGCTTTAAAAATAAGAGCAGAGAAAAAAGTTAATTACCACAGAATTATTCCAAAACTATGCTCAAACTTTCAAAGTCTTAGTGTAACAAACACCCCCCAACTTTAAGTTCAGCATTCTCTTTTCCTCAATATCTAAGTCATTATCTGACATACAATCATGGGTATACTATAAGTTTCTTTTTAAAGCTCCACATTTTTCTTCACAAAGTGATCAACCCACTGGTCAGGTGAGCTGTCACATTCAGTCAGAAATTAAGACCTTTTAAACACTCGCTTGAGAACTACCAGTGCTCTCCTCATTACTTACTGAGATATTCCTTCAAGGCAAACACTTGGAGACGACACAGTTGCTTTTCTTTCTGTACAATCTCCTCTCCACAAAAATGTGGCAGAGACTTGATAAAGTCAGCAATACGAAAGCCTGTACAGATTAGGAGAAATCTATTATTTAGATTCTCTCATATTACTTTGGATACACCGAGTCATTACTTCTTAAAAAAGACACAAAACCAGCAGACATACAAATTTCATATTCAAAGGAAAGAACCAGACTTTCAAATATGGCTAATCAAAATTAAAAAAAGGAAATTAATTATAATTAAATCCAGACACCAGGTGGATAAGTTGGAATAGATGTGTGACCAGTATTCTTGAATTTCGGTACAAAAGCAATATAATGACAACACAATTAACATGACTGACATTTAAAGAAGGTAAAAAAATCGTAATTTTGATACCAGGAAAGAAAAGTTTTCTCCTAGCATGTGGTCAAGGACTTTCAGTCTCCCGTCACCACAGTAATGGGATTTTAATTGGGACAAATGGTAAGCAGTCAGTCACACCGCACACAGATTTATTTCAGTAATAATCAAATAAGAGGGTAAGATGCAGGTCACTGTGCTCTTTTTCGTTGTGAGTGTTACTGAGAGCAAATACACAAATTAGCAGAGTTATCTAGTACGTGTAGTTGTAACAGGACAACTATTCTAAGATAAATGTCTACATACATGCTCTTACCCAGTGGAGCAGCTGATCATCTGACAGCCCATATCCTAATCACCCTGCAGTAATATGGTCATCCGCCAGGTAACTGAAGACATCATCATGAAATTCAACTTGCCTGCTGGCCTTGCAGTTTTTATTTTAAATCATCAGTGAAACAGGCTGGTCAGCCATTACACCAACAATCCATACTTTAAAAATTTTAATTTCTGCAAATTTGATTTGCATTAATATTACCTGGATGCCTCTGTATATTAAAATATTTACAACTAATCACAGTTATGAGAAATGACTGACTACAACTGTATGTAGTTGGTTTTTAAAATATGGCAGTAGCAAATTGTGTGAATAAATAAGCTCTTATTATATTTTTTATCAATTCGAAAAAACATCGATGAAAGAATATTCATAAAAATGTAATGTTTCTCCTTGTTTTCTCCCTTTTAACACAGGCTGGAATGAATAAAAGTGACATATAAATTTTAGTAGCGTTTGCCTGCACTCAGATACTCTTCAACAAATAAGTAATAACTCTTACCTGATTCTGTTTCTTCTTCTTTTGTCTTTAGCTTTCTATTTACTGCAGCAAGAGCGGCTGTACCATTGATCTGGCTAGCTGCATGAATCAAGGTTGCTTTACATCCTCCAGAGCCATTGCCTTGTAGCAAGAAATAATATCGGCAAGATTCTCCTTTCAGTTCAATTTCTGGAACTTAAAAAACACCAGGACATAACTGTGAAACACTGTCAGGAAAACAGCTTTAAAATGAGCTATAACCTGCCATCAAAATTCTTTCACTTGCTCTCTTCTGTGAGAAATCCTAAAAACATGTTTTTAGGAGACACACTAACTACAGCTGGTATTTACCCCTTAAACTACAGCCAAAAACTGAAGAACACGCAAAAAAAGCAAGCTACAGCAGCAAAGACGAGTTGGACTACGCTGCTGGCTTAAAACTAGCACGTTACCAGCACCAAACTGCTGTGAACACAGTGAGGCCAGCTTTCTAATGCAGGCTCCAACGTGCATCTGGCAACTCTCACCGCCAGCCAGGGGAACTTCCTTAATTGGTCTTAGTCAAAGGCCAGTCTTCAACTGGCTAAGTTATATTTCCACCGTGAAACAATGAAGAGTTAGGCAAACACTGTGCTAGGTATCTTCTGGTTCTGCTACGTAAAACAAGGCGTTTTTGCATATGTGGATTGAAATAATGGTAAATGTTCGCTGGAAGAACATGTACCTGGAGAAGAAAGAGGCAATATTGTACACGCTTTTCCCAGGGAAGCTGCATTATTAATATGAGTTTTGCTTACTGCTTTACACTTGTGCATAGCCTGGCCGAGAGATAAACACATTCTATTTTAAAATCACACGCATATAGTATGCAGTTCTGAAAATAAATTAACGTAGGAATTAGTAGTAACATTAAAAGGATGGGCTTGCTATCTGCCTACACAAAAAAACCCATTTTTTAGCACCTCGGTAGATGTAGAAATTGAGAGAATGAATACTTCTTAAGGTACTAAGTTTTAAAGGTCAAATCACTTCACAAGATATTTGCAGTACTATCTCAATAAATAACTCAAGAAGAGCTTGCCGGTTTTTTGTACTACATATTTTAAATATAAAGTATTCCAATGTTTCTTGAAAAGTTTATGTTGTAGGGGGAAGGGAAGAGATGGCAAATCCCACTATCTCTATATATAAACTATATAAACTCAAGAAAAAAAGGAAGAAAGGAACAAGAAAGCTAAAAGATTCCAGACACTTTTTCACTATTATCCTGTTCCCCATTCACCTAGCAATCTGAAATATTTTCCCCTTCCAGTTTACCTTGGCATCTCAAAGTTCATTCCTCATGGGCAAGCTTTTATTTCTCATTTTAATCTTACCTAGTATTTGACAACTACCAATTCAGAGAATTGCACGTTCCCATTGACCGAAGAGATCGTTGCTTGCAAATCCTTAGTATAGTCAGATTAGCGGTAGCCACTAGAAAAGTTTTCAGCTAAATGAGCAAATATGTCTAAATGGCCATGTTTCTCCTCCTACTCAAAGTTTTGCTCAAGAGGCCTAATAACCTATTGCATATTACTAATCACATTACAGTTAATACTTGTATAAAACCCTTCCACTGAACTATCGGGCAAAGGAGATCTTGCAGGCATCTTGCGCTCATCTGACTGCATTAGCAGTATCTCTCCAATACACTGTAAATGCTGCTGCTGTGATCGTTCCTATAATTACACCCTCTCTGCTCTGCTCTACCACCTCCAAACATGCGCATAATTTTGAATCTAGATACAGACAGCCTCACTCACAAGAATTCAGCTTCTTGCCCTGTTACATGGCTATTCCTAATTCCTCTCAAATTTTTGCCTATCCCAAAACCTGAAAGAGCATCAGTCTTTGTCAGCCGTCCTCATCTGCATACTCGTTTACAAACAATACCTTCAGCAGGCAACAGGAGTCACTGTTCCTTGGAATCCGTAAGAATTATATACTTAGACCACTGTATAAACAACCAAATCACGTAATAAGACAGAATCCTGTATCTTATCCTGCCCTAGATAAGCACTTTAAGCACTGGGCTATCACCAAGCTCCTTTTAGCCTGATGTTTTTGGTCCCTACAAACCTCACTATCACTACTCTTACAGTGCCTCCACTTGCAAGGCAGCATATAAAGGTGAATATATCTCACCTAAAATACTGTCTGACTGGGAAACTCCACCCCGTCTTCATCTGCATGATTCTGTTCTCTCACTTCCTGAATAACATTTCTAAGCATTAGCACACTGTGTAAGGGGAGTCAGCTGCCATCAGCACAGCCCCATCAGGAAGAAGGGGCCTATTCCCAATCGCCAGTTAAGCACACTGGCTCTCTGGTGAATGGAAGCGTTCGGCATTTCCTGACGTTCTGTATTCTCCTGGGAAGAGGCTGAAACTAAATGCAAGTGCACTGAAGAACCTCTGGAAATGCTTAAGTGAGAACAGAAGAATCTAGGTGAAGCATACCGTATTTCCACCTGCAGAAGCAAACCTCTTTACCCACGGATCACACAATCACCTTACAAAGGTATGTGCAAGCTGCATCTTAGCTGACAGACAGGACACAGAAATGGTTTAACGAGGTGCACATTGTTTCCTTAAAGGTCACCATGATGTTATATTCAATTTTCCTCTACAACAATTCTGCATAGCTGAATTCACATTCCCCAAAATCTTCTGTGTTAATAAAGATTACAATCACCGACTCCATTTCATTGGAGAAAAAAGGGCATTCCAAATGCACAGAAAAACCCCACCATGTATATCTGTATATACATACACATTTAGATACAACCACAACAAAATACACCTGTAGTCATCTCCCCTTTACTTACCAGTAATGACCTTTGGTTTCTTAGCCATATATTCCTTCCATTTCTTGGTACTCAGCTGGGCAGGGGATGGGATCACTACACTGCTTACATTACATGGTAATGTAAATAAAGCTCCTACCTAAATAATGCGAGCAAATACAATACATGCAATATTACTGAAACCTATTTTACATTTAATTCCTGAGCTACTGATTTTGCAATATTTCAAATGTACTTCAGTTGAAGAAAAACATCTTTACTCATCACTTCTTTCATTCACACCAACCAAGACAGAATAGCATTTGACACAGAAGCTGTAAAAATTGTGCTTATTTTTTGCTCCAGTTGAGAGATCAATAACTGCTGAATTTCTATTTCCTACATAAACAGGTATATGTTACCTATTACAAGTCTTCCAATAATCTGGCTAAAAACTCTTCTGTAGAGCGGTATCCAGAATGAAAAGAAAATTCAAAGATATAGTTGCATCAGTGACTCTGCGTTCCTTTGATATCATGTAATTTTTTTCCTCCCTACCTGTTATCCTTTTCAAATAATCAGATACTGGACTATGTTTATGTCTATATGTAAATTTCAGGCCAATAAGCACTAATCGAAAAACACACAAGTATTTGAATACTCAAGCAATAATAAAATGCTTTTAAAGCTATTAGAAAAGCCTACAAATGCATAATATTTCTAGTAGGTAGACTGAAAAAAAATCCCTACAGGAAATTGTTACATTGGAAACACTCCATTCATGTTCTATGATGGGGTTACAGTGCTGGTGGATAAGGCAAGACCAACCGACATCATCTGCCTGGACTCGTGTAAAGCATTTGACACTGTCCCAGACGACATCCTTGTGTCACAATTGGAGAGACATGGATTTGACTGATAGACCACTCAGTGGATAAGGAATTGTCTGGATGGTCGCACTCAAAGAATTGTGGTCAACAGCTTGATGTTCAAGTGGAGACCAGTGACGAGTGGCACTCCTTAGGGGCTGGTATTGGGATCGACACTGTTTAGCACCTTTGTCGGTGACACGGACGGTGGGATTCAGTGCACCCTTGGCAAGTCTGCTGACAACACCAAGCTGTGTGATGCAGTTGATTCACTAAACGGAAGGGATGCCATCCAGGGGGACCGTGACAGGCTTGAGAGGTGGGCCTGTGCAAACCTCATGAAGTTCAACAAAGCCAAGTGCAAAGTCCTACACATGGGTTGGGGCAATCCCAAGCACAAATACAGGTTGGGCAGAGAATGGACTGAGAGCAGCCCTGAGGAGAGGGACTTGGGGGTACTGATAGACGAAAGGCTGGACATGAGCCACCAGTGTGCACTCGCAGCCCAGAAAGGCAACCATACCCTGGGCTGCATCAAAAGCAGCGTGGCCAGCAGGTCGAGGGAGGGGATTCTGCCCCTCTACTCTGCTCTGGTGAGACCTCACCTGGAGTCCTGCATCCAGCTCTGGAGCCCTCAGCACAGGAAAGACATGGATCTGTTGGAGGAGGTGCAGAGGAGCCACAAAACGTATCAGAGAGATGGAGCATCTCTCCTCTGCGGAAGGATTAAGAGAGTTGGGGCTCTTCAGCCTGGAGAAGAGAAGGCTCCAGGTAAACCTTACAGCAGCCTACCTGAAAGGGCCTACAAGAAAGCTGGAGAGGGACTTTTTACAAGGGCATGTAGCGATAGGACAAGGGGTAATAGTTTTTAACTAAAAGAACGTAGATTTAAATTAGGTACAAGGAGGAAATTCTTCACCATGAGGGTGGTGAAACACTGGAACAGGTTGCCCAGAGAAGCTGTGGATGCCCTCTACCTGGAAGTGTTCAAGGCCAGGCTGGACTGGGCTTTGAACAATCTGACCTAGTGGAAGGTGTCCCTGCCCATGGCAAGGGGGTTGGAACTAGATGATCTATAAGGTCCCTTCCAACTCAAACCATTCGATGATTCTATATGCAGACTCTAAATAGTAGCCTGAGACCATGTTTTAACTGGTTTTGGCTTTTTCTTTAAAGGAACTAGTAGACATGCAAGCTCTTAGACTGAAAAAGATCTTTGACCAAGAGTTCAGTATCCTCAAGTAAAATGAAAATTAACTGGGATATTTACCAATATAAAACTATTCCACAAGATACTTTTGGAACAGCATTGGAAAAATTACTTCTTTTCTGGCTAAGCATAACGGAGAATGGAGTGGCAGCAGAGAAAAAAAATCACTAAAAACCTAAAGACCAAGCTGAAGATTAAACATACAGCTGGATAATGGAATACCAACTCCACAGTAAATAAAGAACTTAAGTTATTCGTTGTAATTTTGTCAGTATTTTCACTTTGCAGGCTCTGTTTTGTTTGGCACAGATTTATTTTATACACACCAGAAAACTTTCCTAAACGAGCACACATTACCTTAAAAATTCAGGAAAAACATCTTCAAACTCATATTGTGGCTATGAATAATCATACTATCATTCCAGGGGCAGAAAAGAAAAAGAAAAGATAGGCTTGTAAATGTTTCCAGAGCTCTTCTTATCCAAAATCAGAATGGAAACACAGAATATGCACATGTAAAATAAAAAAGCTTGCCACTTCAGACTAGCTAGATAAATTTTCTGAGCTGCACACACACCTGCCTTTTGCTGAAAAAAAAAGCTGAATTATGATAGCACATAAATTACCTGTCAGATTAGGATTAAAAGTAACTACATGTTTTAGGAGACTGAAACTTATTCAAAACAAAGGTAAAACCATTCAATTGGCTTACAAATTTTCAAGACCTGTACAGGATGCACATTTAAAAGTCAAATTTGCTTATAGAACTAAATATTGCAGGAGTTTACACAGAGACTAGGTTTAAAAAGAAGTTATTACCTTCCCAGAAAGAGAAGA